GCAGCGGAGCAGGCACAGGATGCAGATAGTGCAGCTACAGAGAGCTACGTTTTTGGAACCAGCATACCTCAAGTAAGCAAGGTTTGGGTTAATCAACCGAGGTACATGTGACGGTAAGTTAACCTTGATTTCTGGAATGCACACCTGTTCCCATGTTTAGTTTTGTTCCTTTGACATAATTTCCTGTGTTCCCTGATTATGGTATTCAGTTCACCTGTGTTCAGTTAATTAAGTCATTAGTTCCTCTCTTGCATCTGTATAAAAACTCCTTGTTTATTTCTCTCAGTTGCCAGTTATTATTTGTGCATGCTGCTTGATTTTCCCTGTGTTTTGAATGGTTCTTCATCATCTTGGATTATTATTAAATGTTATATTGGATTACCTTCATCTTCGTGTGCCTTCCTTCCATGAGAGCATGAAAGAATAGTTGGCCTGAAAGTGTTTAAGCGGCATGTTTCCCTGTGTTTACTTTTTCCATTTTTGATAGTTTTTTTTTTATTTGTTATGGACGATCCTGCTGTCCTCATCCTCATCCTCCTGCTGGAGCAGGGGGGTCGCTCTCTCGAGAATCACATGAGAGACTTTGTGGACCTTGCCAACTTAACAACACTACCCGGACAACTGCCTCACCACGATCTATCATGTGGGATTAAACACCGCCACACATCCTGTCCATGGACGGTCTTCGAGAGAGCCTCGTCACCTTCATGGAGTGGGTGCTGGCGTGCTGTATCTCGCCATTTATCATCGCCCTCGAAGAGGACCTCACCAGCCCCACTCTGGAGTCCAGCCAAGCGTCACCCCGCTGCGCGGAGCATCAGCCTGAGCCCACCTCAGACGGATAGCCAGAGCCAGCCGCGACTGACGAGCCATTGCCTATAGGACCGACAGAGCTGAGGATCACCCCGGAGCAAGAGCCTCAACCGACGTCTGACCAGGTGTGTGAGACGGCAACTAAGCCCTCCACGGAGGAAGTCACAGTGGAGCGCGAGGGTGTGGAGGAAAGCCCCGGCCACTGCTCCACTGCTGGAGGTGAGTTACCACTGGACTCAGAGGAAAACAATTTATGTGGACATGCCTCTTCTTCTCCCGTCTTCGTTTGAACTCTGCCTGTCCAGTTACAGCCAATGAGGCTGTTTATGAACTGTCTGTCCCGTCATGACCATGGAGGTCTGTAATTAACTTTTTATCTGCCCTGAACTGTCAGTCTGCTCTATTACGACCATGAAGGTCGTCCACCTGTCCCTAGCGCTCCCTGTGCTGGAAGTCGTGCTTTGGTGTATATGGGCGGCATACACCTTCCCAAGAAACCCTGTCTGTCACAAATTCCCACCCAGCCTCCCTCTCCCACCTCCTCTCAGGAGTCTGCCATCTTCTGCCCCGCTGCATCCTGGCAGCCCCTCAGCTCACCCTCAGCCCACTATTGCTGATGTGGGTTCGACGCAGGTCTGCCAGTCTCCATCATCGTTGTGGCTGGAGGATCCCTTGTCTCCGCTCCAGCCTCTGAGTCCCAGACTCCGCCTCGGCCCATCGACCCAGCGGCTCCACCATAGCTCCTAGTTCCCTCATCTCCACCATGACCCGTCAGTCCACCAGCTCCGCCGGGCTCCCTCGTCCCTCCAGCTCCGCCTTGGTCAGTCGTCGACCTCCCCTCGCCTTGGGACTACACTCCTCCGGCTTCACCTCATCCCTCCATCCCTTCGGCTCCATTGGGCTCCTCTCTCCCTCCAGCTCCACCTTGGTCCTCTGTCACTCTGGCTCCACCGTGGCCTTCCAGATCCCCGCCTATGGCTCGGTCGCCTGAGCCATCTGTTCCGCCTTGGCCCTCTGGATACTCCCCATTGCCCTGGCTCTGCGGCTCTACGTATCTGCCAAGGGCTCCCAACACGCCTGCTTCGCCGCTGTCAGTCAGCCCCTTGGAGTCGTCAGACCTTTCTCCACAATGGCTCATCCCTCCATCGGCTCCACCACGGGCCGCATTCCTGGCTGCGGACTGGGTCCCGCCTGTCTTTTCCCTGGCTCCTACCACCGTATTCGCCACCCTGGCTCCTCGCTCCGTCTGATCTGCCATGGTTCCTCCTGATTCCTCTGTGGCTCCTCCCTCCATTGTCACCACCCTGGTCATCTGCTTGCCTTCCTACCTGCCCTTCGCCACCAGCTCGTCCTCCTCCCAAACCCCCTCCCTCCCTTCTTTGTTTGTCCTGCTACAGTGCGAGTTCGCGCCTTCGGGGAGGGGGAGTTATGTCACGATTATGGACTTTTTTTTCTTTTCTGTTTTTTCGTTTCCTGCTCTCCTGTTTAGTTTTGTTCCTTTGACCTAGTTTCCTGTGTTCCTTGATTATAGTGTTCAGTTCACCTGTGATCAGTTAATTAAGTCATTAGTTCCTCTCTTGCCTTTGTATAAATACTCCTTGTTTATTTCTCTTCGTTTTCTCTCAGTGACGGACATCTTTGTACCTTTTTTTTTTACCCCTAATAAGTACATATTAGTACCTTAATGGTACGTCATCTATTCTAAGGTACTAATATGTAACTATTAGGTGTAAAAAAAAAAAAAAAAGGAATAAAGATGTCCTTTTAAGCGTACTGCTCCAGTGACAAGCTGTTGTACCCCAAAAGGTAAAATTTTGGCCCCTTTTTTTCTGTGTGGCCTGGATGAGTGGGAGATTTCCCGGCCTGAAATTGTGTCCCAGTCTGGCCCTGTCACAGAATTTACTGGTAATTTGAAAAATTGTGTGAATGGTGCTTTACTGGTACAAAGACAGATCTTCATTGCCTGTGTGAACAGCGTAATTTTGTATTTACCAGTAAAGAAGGTTGCGTAGTTTTTCGTCAATTTACTGGTATTACTGCGTAAAAGAGGCTACTATCATTCAGTTAATGGTATTTGCCATCATATTTTTTATTATTACAAAGGCATCTGTAAAGGCTTTTCAATCGTCCATTTGGCCAAATTGTTAAGTGGCTTGGATTACTATTTTAGTGAAATGAATCACATTCAAATAACTAATTTGATGTAAGGACTTTTTGTGTAATATTTTATTTTATCACAATAGATTGTTATTTCTTTTAAACTCATTCATGTAATGCTTTGTTCATACTGTCATCAGATGCGCCCATGTTTTATATACAAAATGGAATGAAACATTTGTGCCAAAAAGGCGCATGTGACTTTTTTTTTATAAAAAAAAAAAGATTTTGTTTTTCTGAATAAATGTTAAAATAGTGTTTAATAAATACAGTATAGGCTATTGTCATACATGTGTGTAAACATTTTTATTATAAAATATTGAAATCAGTACACAAAGTCAGATCAAATTATGGTATTTTTATTTTTTTTTGGCCCTCCTGTAAAGTTGGTGAAATGTCACTTATGCCCCTCTGTTTAAAGGTTATTCATGGAAAAATAATAATTTCCTTTCATATACCTTATGTGAAATTGGGTTACCTAAAGTATTTATAATAGTGACCAAGTGTAGATTGATGTTGTAAATTTCTAGAGGTTAATTAAAGTGGTTTCTTAAGTCTGTTATGATTTTGCTTTTTTCATAATCTTACTCTGTTTATAGGAATCCCATGAGTGCCTGTAGGTGGGAATCATAATCACTGTGAGAATTGCCTCTCTAATGGTTTGTATTGTGATTACCTGCCTTCAGGGACAAGACTTTCACTGTGATTTTCAAAGCTTATGACTTCAAGGTGTACAAAAGTCCCACCATTTTACAGCTGACTTGTGAAATGCCTTCAATGGATAATGAAGTCAGCTGTTTACAAATAAGATCAACTAGATCAAGACCTGGTTAAATTATTTTCTTTTCATAGCAACATTTTAACTGAACAAGAAACATATTCGGTTTGGTGGTGATTAGTTCTGTAACCATTAGTTGATGTGTTACTGTATAGGTCTGTTTAATACATGGCAACAGCTGGAGGCAAATTCATCCATCCATCAACTGTTTCCCAGTGGTCGAAGCCAATAGCTTTAGGGGAAGCACTCTGACATGCAGTGCTTTGGGTTTCCCCCGGTTACTGATATTTTCTGATTTTCTCTCCTTCTCTCCTCTCTCTCACTTTGCTTCATATCCACTCTCTATACTGTTCAAAGGCAAGAATGCCCAAAGCAAAACCTGGAAAATTAAAGAAAATTTTTTTTTATTATTATTAACTTTATTGTTTATATTGTAAAATTAAAACTATATATATACAGTATATATATATATATAGAGAGAGAGAGAGAGAGAGAGAGAGAGAGAGAGAGCGAGAGTATGGAAATGACTTGTGTTATTAGAGAGAGAAATGGGTCCGGGTTCATTTGAAGAGTGCACAAGCCAGAATTCTTGCAAACTACCCAGAAAATAATCAAGTGTCGTCCAGAGGTTGATAGAAACTATAAGTGAGGACATAGATAATGGAAAAATCCACATTTTGATTTTCTAACCGTATCATCTCAGCTGTGTGAATGTTCTCTCCACTCACACTCTCTGTCAACACAATTCTTAACCTGACAGAAACGGCAAAGACCACCGAAAGCTGCATGGCGTATTGTGTGTAACACTGACCCACCAACTAGTCAGCAAGTTTTCCGAGTGACTAGTCAACTATAAAAAAAACGAGTAGTTATGCAAGCCCCATAGTAGACACAGAGAGGATGTGAATGAGAGGCATCAGACCAGTTCACGTGACAATCACAGACAGTCACATACAAAGAGCAGTATTAGTTACAAGAAAAGGAGGAGGAGAGAGAAGGAAGGATAGGAACAGAAAGAGGGTGGGGGAGAGCAGGGGAGAGTGAGGGAGACAGTGAGAGGGAGAGAGTGAATCTTTCATAGCAGGCATTTCAGATCGCCACCGCTGAGATTTGTGTCTTTCAGTATGTTTTACCGGCGGGCAGAGTTAGTGTTAGCTCCCACACAATAACTTCTCGACCTCCTCCTCTCTCCTCATCCTCTCCTATGTTCTTTCCTTCCAAAACAAACTTGTTTATTCAAGGCTGATGGCTCACAGGCTTCAGATTTTTCCATAATCTGGCATCGGACATAAGGACCATCACCAAAGTCTGTCTGTAAGGTAGGAATAACAGTTTACATATTTTTAACTACTGTCCCATGTGCCGTCATGCTTATGAGCAGTATTTTGTATATTTTATTATTTTTTTTTTATATATATATATATATATGAGATATTTTGTTTTATTTTATTTTTCATAGAATATCTGAATTATTATTAAAGTGAAAAAAAAAATAAGAAGAAAGGGGGATAGTTTCACAGGTTTAAGGCTATTATTAATATGACAAACATGCATGTGTGTGTGTGTGTATATATATATATATATATATTTTTTTTTTTTCCTTGATAAACCAGTGCCAGTTAATTAGTGATATTTTATTAGATATTTTTGGATATAAAAGTGGAATGTGTGAACGTTATGAACGTGGATTGTGTTCTTTGTTCATTCACATAAAGATTTCATGTGTTGAGAAACAGATCAGCTGAATTCTGTAACTAACATGTGGTCATTTACACCAGTGTTTCTTAACCCTGTTCCTGGAGGCGCATTGGCAGTACACATTTTGAAGGTCTCTCTTATCCTACCCATCCATTTCAGGTCTTGAAGTCTCTACTAATGACTGAATCAGGTGTGTTTGATTAGGAAGAGTTTAAACGGGGTTGGGAAACCCTGAGTTACACTGTGTGCTGTCACATGCTTTGATGGTCCACCCATTCAAGTGACTGGAGAATGTAAAGTCTGGTTATAAATACCTCTACCAAGCCCCTCTACACGTCCTGTGAGCACATATATAGAGCGTCTATACATGGCTGTTAGTGATAAACTGAAGTCTGTGCTTTTTAAGCACTGCAACCTTAGGCGTTTGTGAAACAAAATGTAAAATTATGGACTGTAACAAAATGTTGAAACTGAGCAGAAAATTTACAGACATTCATAAAGACACAAGTAACGATTTTTCTCAGACTCTCAGAGGACAGCACTGCCGTAATGTTTTTCTCCTGATCGCACTGATCTCAGATTTGCGTCATCCATAGATCATTAAATTCTGAGCTTGGCATTAACAATATAAAGCATTACCTGACTAACAGTTGTAATTCTCATAAAAGTCCATTTAAAATGGTTGATAATGTTTAAATTTGTAATGAATTTGTAGCCATTCAGTGCTAAAAATAATGCTTTACTCCTTAAAATGTTGTTCCGAACCCATTTGACTTCTTTCATGCATCACAGAACCAGTAAAAACATGATAAAAGTAATCCATACAACTGAAGCACTGTCTTCCAAATCTTCTGAAGTCATATGATTAGCTTTGTGTTTACTTATTGTGCTTGTTTGTTTGTTCAATGATGAGCTTAAGTATAAATCTGAAAGGACAGAAATTGATGAGAACCTTAGGAGGGAACTGCATTGGGATATAGTCTTAAAGCAGACTCAAAACTGTGTTTCCTGTGTGACCACCATGATAACCGTATGATGCATGTTAATTTTTTGCATGTTTTTGTTTTTCCAGTCAGAGGAGAAAATATTGATTTATGTTAAATTGCCATGTTCAAAAGCCAGTTCACTGTACGTCTCCCTGCAGAGCTCTCTTCAACCCATTACAGAGAGTCCTTGAATCATGTCAAGATTCACTTTATTGATTCCCTTCTGACTGTGAAGTGTGGCCATCCACAGAAAGGCTGTCATCATTTATTATACTTCCTGCGCATCTTTTCTTGACCAATATTTACTTTTAGATCAGTGAGATCATTAGTGGAGCTGGTTACACTTTATTTTAAGGTGTCTTTGTTGCAGTGTAATTACAAAGTAAGTACAGAGTAATATTAATTAACAAAATGTACTATAGGGTTATGTTCAATAGGATTAGGGCTAGGATTTGGTTTAGGGTTAGTTGCTTGTAATTATGCATAATTTATTGTTATTACTATAGTAAGCACAAGTATCACATACAAACGACACTGAAAACCAACACTATTAATGCAGATGTGAAAAATGCCTCAAATAATGTGATTTGTTGAGGTGTGCTTTCATGTTTCTAAGCAAACAAAAATTCCTTGGTAACACTTTATTTTGATAGCCAACTTTGCTGAGACATTCTATTAAGTAACTTTGCAACTACATGTCAATTAGCAGTCATTAGAGTATTAACAGATTGTCTGTTTAATGTCTTCTAACATTTTATTTTGATGCTCCACGAAACACATTCTAACTTTGCAAGTACATGTCAACTTATTCTATAAACCAAACCATAATATAACACTCTACGAATACTTTAATGAGAGTTAGCTGACATGCATTTGCAAAATTACTTATAGTTAGTGAAATGTCTAAAGTGGACTATCAAAATAAAGTGTAACCAAATCCTTTAGACTTGCATTTAAATTAAGGACCTGAGCTAGAGAATGAAATACTACTTTTACTCTTTTTGCTGCATATATTGTGCACTGTATGCGGAATATAGAATACCCAGATGACCTGCTATATATTTTAAAATGTAATGGTATATCCTACAATGTGATATGCTCGATTTGAACTTCCATTTCCATTTCCAGTGTAGTTATTATTATTATTATTATTATTATTATTATTATTATTATTATGTTTCCAAGATGCAACTTGATGAGGTCATGTTACAACAAATGTAATTCACCAATGTTTTAAATTTGTGTTGAAATGTATTGCTACATAAATGACTGCAGTTTCACTTACATGTTTTAAACTAGTAAGCAGTGTACAGTACATACTGCACCGTATGAACTAAGCATTCATCTAGTATCCTCTTTTGAGCACATCACTCATCATGGCCTGTGCTTTGATCAATCAAAGATAAAGCTGCATAAGTAGTGATCTCTAGAGATGTCTACTGGCTGTTGGTGGTGGGGTTTGCATTAATACAAAGTGAATTTAATATTTATCATGCTCCGAATATGTGCCGCTAGCTGACGTATGGATGAATCTGAGAGATGGACAGAGAGTGGGGTGCGAAATGAGATTTGTGTGTCAGACAGGGCACTCGCTGCTCTGCGCAACCGTACCTGTCACTTTGCTTTGATGTCAGTTCTATACAGCAAGAACACAAGTCATTTCCATACTCTCTCTCTCTCTCTCTCTCTATCTCTCTCTCATGCATTTCTCTGTAAATGTCTGTTATATCTGTTTCACTGCTCCTCTCCTCACTCTTTGCCCATATTTCTCTTTCTGGATATAATGTAGAGTAAAGTTTGATGTTATATCCTGAGAAAGGATCAGATGTGGCTAAATACATTCACTATCATGTACACTGTGGCTGTTACACTGTTACATGCACACACACACACACACACATTCATCCACAAACATGTGGGCTCAGGGGTATTTATACCTATGGATATCTACTATGGAGGCCAGACAGTGATTAAATGCAGGCAGCTAGTGAGAATTTTGGGGTTATTTGTGTGTGCACAAAGTTTAATAGCCACACGGATGCATTGATGTATATATATGTTGGTTAGATCATCTGTAATCCATAAAGTGTGTGTATGGTAGACTGATGACACACTTGATGTCATCCCTGTTGTCAGCTAATGTCTTTGCCACCTTGGTATTTTGTCGGCACAAGTGGACTTATAGTCAATATGACAACACATATACAGTATAAGAGCGGTGTTTAAATGAGCAGACAGGCTTTATGAATGATTAATATGCCAACACTCTTGGTTGAGTTGTGAGATCATCAAATGAATTACTGCTTTACAACATGTAAGTCCTGAAACATCTGGATTTTGCAGGACTAGGTGTGTCTATCACACTTTTAGTGCTTCCAATTGTACCCCAACCCCCTTCTGCCAAATACAATTTCTGAATTTGTATTACATGCATGTGTGTTTTGGACATTGTTATCCAGTCATCATTATTAACAGAAGCTTTATCATCCATATCTGTTTCTCTTTGTGCTTCATTATGAATTAGAAATTATAATTCTAGTTGAAAATAAATGTAGCTTGAAGTCACATTTCTTTGGCCAAAAAAAAAAGATTAAATTAATTATAAGATTAAGAAAATAAACTTTTATTATATAACTACAGAACATAATGTATATATACATTATGTATTCATTATTGTGAAAGCTTTCTCTAGCACTGCTTTGCTATGAGGATGGGGCACCGATGGGATTTATTTAATCACTGACTGATAAACACCCAATGGGATTTAGTTGATCGCTGAAGGCGTAGCTTAAAATAACAGCATGAGCTTTTCTCATGCCAAGCTTACTGACAGCTGAAGATGAGGGTTCACTGTGGTGAGGGTTCATCACAATCCGTTAGATCTCACATGTGTAGAAGGAGCCAACTTCTGGAATGAGAGGCTGTTTAGTTTGTTTAGACATGTGTCCTCTGAACTGCAGACACTTATCATCAGTTCAGCAACCAAAACCTGAATTGTTAAGATCCCAAATAAAGGGAACTAATTGTTTGAGCGGTTCAAATTATGTGTTCAATTATTTACTAAGAATAATTACTTTTTGTTATTGCATGGTAAACTAAACACTAAACAACTTTTTTTTATATACTCTTCAAAATGTATTAAAGGGGTCATATGATGCGATTTAAATTTTTCCTTTCTCTTTGGAGTGTTAGAAGCTCTTGGTGCATAAAGAAGATCTGTAAAGTTGCAAAGACTAAAGTCTCAAATCCAAAGAGATATTCTTTATAAAATTTAAGAGTCAACCACGCCTACCTAAAACGGCTCGTTCTAACACGCCCCCACATGTCTACCTCACTATGTGGGAAGATTTGCATAACACCGCCCAAATGTTCACGCAAAGAAAGAAGGTGTAACTTTTATTCTGGCTGTAGTATTGTTGTTGCCACCGCCATGTCGTGAAGGCACTGTGTGGTTTCAGAAAGGCGGGGCATAGAGGAGAAACAATAATGTACAGTATGTGGAAAATAATGTGTTTTTTGAACTTGAAACCGCATAAACACATTTCATTACACCAAATACACAAAATAATGTTCTTTTTAGCAACATCATATGACCCCTTTAAGACATTGAGTGACCATTGATAGGGTAGGCTGGA